TTTATTAAGTGAGGAGGATCTGAAAACAAATAGACATATCTTCCGTCGTCACTGGCAGGATTTTTAAATTTGTGTTTCACAACTCCAGTGTCATCTGCTATTAGCTTGATAAATTTCCTATTCACCGAGTTACCATCAAGTGTTATGCTCATTACTTTGAAGCCACATGTTTCCAACCGGATCAGAGACTCGAGAAAGATTGGAACTAATTGTTCCCCGGTTAAATTTGTTGCTGGAAATGAAGCATATGGAAAAGTGAAGTTCGTAAAAAGACCACGAATCATAATGACTAGAACCGTCTTTGCTAGTGTTGGTAATTGCATACCAGTACTGCTATTGTCATCATCTTTGCTATATTTCTGTTCTAGTTCTAGAAGGTGATTGTTTATGTCTCCGATATCGCAGAATCCAACTAGCTCTCCTGTGTCTTTTTTGTAGACTAAATCTTCTTTTATGTACATTTCGTCAGCTAGCAGTGTGATGTGTTTTTGATGTTCATCTAATGATGCTACGTTTGAATCTTGAATCAGTTGTTTGTCGAGCTCTAGCGAAAAACCTGATGTGCTTTTGTAGTAGTGACTGTAGTCCCTCAAAGTTCTCCTGGAAGGTAAATTAATGATGTTACTGGAACGTAATAGTTCATAAGCACTTGAGGATTTGTGAGAAAGATAAAGACACCATTTCACCATAGTTGGGTGCCATCTATGATGTTTTTTTGATTTCTGTATTGCCGTGCTATATTGATTTTTCCAAAAGATTGCTTGAAAGCTATCTTCTGGGTATGATTTGGCAATATTTTCATGGTTTTCTTTCATTATGGTGACTAGATCTGAGTGCATATCATCATTAATTGTGACTAGACTGGCATCTTTTTCAATTTTTTTTTGTAAGTGTTCTATGATTTTTTCTTGCTCATTTATGATTGACTTTAAATATTTCAGCTGTTGCGTCATTTGCTCCTTTGACAAGCATCTATAATTTGTTTGCGCACTTATGCAGGTAACTGGCTGTTTCTCTGTGGCCAGCTCCTTCATCTTCATTGCATTTAATGTGTGCCTGTAACTAATGCAGACAGAACAACGTGACTTTCGTTCCTGCATGTAAGTGCAATTGGTATGCCTGATTGTTCTCAGTGGTTCGTCTTCAAGATATGCTACACAAATTCCTATAATAATATACAATTATAGTGAAAAATATTATTTTGTACAGATACCTTGTCTGTTTTTCAAACTGTTTTCTCTTCTTTCTGCTAACACTATGAAACAGTCATCAGGATTTCCTGGGCATATGTGCAGTGAATTGATATAAAGCAACAGAGAGATGATGTCGTCAAAAGAAGATATAGTTATATTTTTTGGCAGAGATATGTCATGGTGTGTATAAGTGTTTAATACGTAGCTAAGATCTCGGTGTATGATGATAGAATGGGATATTGTAGGTACTTTGCCAGTTATTTCTATGCAACATAATAGTAGTGAATCTTCATCTCCTGATGGTTTCATTTGTGCCCAAGGTTGGGGTAATGCTGTTGATTGTAAGTCGTGCATTAAGTCATTGTAGCTAAACTTTCGAACAGCTCTACTCTTTTGCACCAAATTAACTTTGGCAGTGTTAAATTTATTTCTGGCTGTTTTTTTCCCAGTTGAGAATACTTTCTTACGACCCATGATTGATGCAGACTACCGTGACTGAGTATTGCAATAATGAAGAAGCACCTATCAAGTAATAAACATGATAAATGGGCTACCAAGGTGTTTACTGTCTTTAATAATTACAACAAAAAATCACAAACCTCAAGCAATAAGTATAACTGTGTCCAAATTGTTATTCACTATTGCTGTAACTGCGCCGGACAAGACTAATTTTTTGAATGGTCCGCAGGACTCATTGCGCGCGCAAATCACATTGTACCGGAAAAAACCTATTTATCAATCAATCATAAAAAATAATTTTATTTTGAAGTCAAAAATTAAATGCCACTGGAACATAGATGATGAAACTGGATTAAAACTGTGATTAGTTTATAATCATGTATTTTAACTTAACTGTACCATAAACTACACACATTTGGATTATTTTAATTGTTCATCTTGATATAAATGTGACATCTGAACTATGCATTCATGTATAATGTTTAAAGTTTGTCTAAAATGGTTGAATAATTTTATTTTATTCATCTAATGAAATGCAGAAAACAAAATAGGTGGAAGACCTGCGTATTTAAATTAGTAATTTATATTAAAATATTCAAGCCTGGGATATTTGTTATTATTGAATTAAAGGTACAAAACAAAGCACATTTTTGGCCTTTTTTAAGGCTTAGATTTCACAACCTTACAGTATTTCCTACTGCAAAATGTTTCAAGACCTCAGTTATAACATTGGTCAAATGTTTATATATACAAATACAAGGTTAAAAGAAACATCTTTCAGAAAAAGGTACAAAACAAAATCGGCAGTCAGGACAACTTGACAGACACAACTTGGAGCAGGATATAATTCCGGCCATTAGTGCAGTGCTCCTGAACCAGGTATCAGTGGATAGATATGATCCTGATCTTAGCAACTGACCTAAAAATAATAGTATATTCAATTATAAAACATGAATTATAAACTGTAAACTCGAGTGATGGTCCTCCATTTTCCTAGTTTCCCGGCAAGAAAAACGACAACTTGCATACGTCGCTAGGCAACGCATGACATGCCTATAAATTTTACGGTGGTTTCCTATCCCTTTCATTTACTCTAATATCTATGGTTACCAGTAGTAGCAATTAATACTCTGTGTACCACGTGTGCGTGTTCTAGCATTAATTGTACAACAAATACAATCATAATGGGAACCAGCCTTAATATGCTTAAATTTAGGACCGCGCCGGGCGCGCCGCTGACCCGGCCCAATGGTGAACAATAGTGAGACTATTGTTCTCGAGATTGTTCTACTTAATTGTTTTCTATCTGTGAAACTCTTCAATAATGATTGATTTGTGTCAGTGGAGGGCTAGAATAGGATCCTATAACTGCTCCCGCCATTGGTCACAATCCAGTGCTTGCCGTAGTAACGTTACCGGTAACATTTACCGTTGTAATAATGGTATCAGCAACAGATATACTTCTACTACACAAATGGAGACCCGGCCTAAACTCATTCTGTCTATTTTCTGTCTCTTTATTCTCCTATTCATAGCTGGAGATGTTGAACTTAATCCTGGACCCACTCTTACAGGTAAAATGATATGCATGCACCGGCTACTAGTATAATCATTATTGTACTTAGATAAGCCAACAAGAGATGAATTGGTTGAGTTATTGAGTCGTTCAGAGTTTACTGCTGGTACTTGGAAGCATTTTGTCTGCTCTCTGCCAAATATGACATCAGAAATTATTGCTCGTATCAAACAAGAAGAGGATGCTGTGGATCCAAAGAAAGAGGAAACTAGCTCTGACAATTACATGAGTGCTGTAGCTCAGTCTTGTCTTGATAATATTCCTAATTTAACTTGGAAAGTGATTACGCTGGCTCTTATTGATGCAGAAGAACTTATTCTGATTCGTCAAGTTATAATGAATTTGTCCGAATGTTCTTGTTTGCAAGGTAAAAACAATTTGTTTTATTTCTGTGTTTTATTGTGTTTTTGTGCTATAGGCCTAGATGAAAGTACAAAAATATACTTGACAGTTCAAAAAATTATGAGACGGCATTATGTTCAGTTAAAAGAGGTGACAGAGAGTTGGTTACAAAATTTTGCTGATAAAATGTATTCTGGTGACATGACTAGTACAGATGTCCATAAATCTCCAACCTTTCATAATATTGCACATGAGTTCACTTGTAGTTTAAAACTTTATGAGGACATAACAAAGCTAGAAGAGAAATGTCAATTGTTTTTAGCCATCCTTTCTAGCAATGGAGGCCCTGCAAAATTGGAAGCAAGAGCACTGGCCAAAGACCTGGAGCAAGAAGTACTAAAAAAGCACAATATCAAATGGACACTCAAGCATAAAGAACATGGAATAGAACAAAATTCAGAGATTGAAGTGAACGCTGAAGGTGAAATTGCTACTACACTTGATGAACTGAAAGGCAAATTTTCAACACTAGCCATAAAAATTAGAAAACATTACCATGAGTCTGCAAAGTATAAAGCTATTGATGTTGCACGAGTTATGAATGAAATATCAAAAGATAAAGAATATACAGATTTACCTACAATTGATGCCGTCTTTAGTGCCGCTTGTTATGACTTTTTGAACTGCTCAGTGATAATGGACTTTGTGAAGCAAGTCCCACTAGATGATGATTTGCAATCAGAGTTTCAACAATACATGAAAGAACTGAAAGATTTTAAAAAATCAACTACATTGCGACAACTAGTGAATCAAATTAAGAAAGCTGTGCAACCGAAAGAAGAATTGCCTCAATTAACTTGTGTTGTTGTCGTTAAAGTAACCGAGGATTATGATAATAAAACAATTGATCATCTTGAAGTACTAAAAAAATATATATTTGGACCCAACTCAGAATTTCTTGAACTAGTCAAAGTTAGGAAAGGATCGTTAACTCTTACGTTCTTGGCCCCATCAACATTGCAACAAACTTTTATTCTCAGGATAAAGGCAATACACCAATACATTCTCTATATTGGTGTTTTTCAAATTATTATTAATGATCGAACAATCGTAGTCATTGATGGAGGTCAATTTCCCCCTAATTTTTCTTTAGAGGAATCACTTATTTTCGCAATTGTGAGCGTGCATAATGCAAAGGACACAGAATTTGAGAGGTTAGCATTTCTCCTACTACATCTTGATATCAATATTAATTATAAAAATGAAAAGGGATTCAGTGCTTTATATCTAGCTTCTGAAATTGGTCATTACCAGCTCGTTGAAGCATTGCTTAAAAAAGATGCATGTGTGATCAACATTCAAGATGACAATGGATGGACACCTTTGATGGCTGCCAGTGCTGATGGGAAATATCAAGTTGTCGAACTTTTACTGACTAAAAATCCAGAAATAAACATTCAGAGCAAAGATGGATGGACTGCATTGATGCTCGCTTGTCGTTATAGACATCAAAACACAGCTGCAATTTTACTATCAAAAAATCCTGACATCAGCATTCAGAATAAACGCTTTGGTGTGACCGCTTTAATTATTGCTAGTGCTTCAGGATTACCAGTTGTTGAAACCATTCTCAATAGAGCTAAGCCCTCTGACATTAATATTTGCAGTAATGAAGGAATGACTCCTTTGATGATGGCTTGTCAGCAAGGACATTACCAAACTGTTAGACTCATACTCAGCAAAAATCCCGATCTCAATATTCGAAATAATGTTGCTGGATGGACTGCATTGATGCTTGCATCTAGTAAGGGATATCATCAGATAGTTGAATTATTGCTTAGTAAAGATCCAGATATTAACATTAAAAGCTTTGATGGAATGACTGCTCTTTTGCTTGCTACTGATAAGGGGCAAATTCAAGTTATTAATTCTTTACTTAAAAAAAATCCAGATATGAATGTTCAAGGTTACGATGGAACTACTGCTTTAATGCGTGCTTCAAACAAGGGATTTTACAATGTTGTGGAACTTTTGCTGAGTAAAGATCAAAATATCAACATTCGGGGCGATAGAGGATCAACTTCTTTGATCATGGCTAGTTGCAACGGCCATCACCAGGTTGTTGAGCTCTTACTGAGTAAAAATCCAGATGTTAACATTCAAGATTCTGATGGGTTTACTGCCTTGATAATTGCTTGTGTAAAAGGACACCATCGAGTTGTTGAAGTTATATTGAGAAGTGATCCAGATTTAGATGTTCAAGACAAAGAAGAATGCACTGCTTTGATAAATGCTTGCTTGATGAATCATCACAAAATTGTTACACTTCTTTTGAATAAAAATCCAAACATCAATATTCAAGACAATAATGGATGGACTGCTTTGATGACTGCTAGTAATTTTGGACTTTACCATGTTGTTCAACTCTTACTAAATAAAGATCCTGAAGTTAACATCCAGAGCAAAGATGGATGGACTGCTTTAATGCTAGCCTGTCAAGAGGGACATCACCAGGTTGTTGAACTTATATTGTCTAAAAATCCAGATTGTAATATTCAAAATAAGTATGGATTGACTGCTTTGATGCTAGCTTGTGAAAATGGACAAGAACAGGTTATCAAATTATTGTTAAGTAAAGGTATAAATGCTAACATTCAAGACAATGATGGATGGAGTGCATTGATGCATGCTTGCCAAAGAGGATACCATCAGATTATTAGCCTGCTATTAAGTAACAATGTAGACATTGAAATTCCAAGTAAGGATGGCACTAAGGCACTCACTTCAATCTTATTATTATCTAAATCAATGATCAAAAATTTGCAAAATAAATGCAGTGGATGGGCTTCACTAAATATATTACTCATGGATCATTCAAAATCGTTAGAGCTACTTCTCAACTGTCATCCTAACCACATGCATATCTTGGATGGCATGGAGCTTCATTCATTAGCTGTGGCAGCATGGGCAAATAACGTGGAAGCTGTTGAGATTTTAATAAAGAAATGTGACGTCACTCCAGAAAATATTAGTAGTGCTTTTACCCAAGCATGTTATCAAGGCCACTCTTCAGTCATGATTCACTTGTCAGAGAAGGTATCTACTCTTTCAGTTAATGAGAGAAAATTATTAGTAGCAGCTGCTAAAGGAGATTTAGGAACATTAATTGGTATGATTATGAATGATGGACCTGATGGTATGAGTCCAGATTCTCGACTCGTAGCTGGTATAACTCCATTAATGATAGCAGCTTCATGTGGACATGTTGAATTAGTTGAGGCACTAATAGGAGTTGGAGCTGATGTTAACATAACTGACATTGAAGGGAACACTGCACTGGATGTGACCAAAAATATCAAGTTATACGATCGAAAGGATATCATTACATTATTAGCTGATATCCCTGCTGATGTTGCTTTGCCAGTTTCATCAATTGAAAAGAAAGAAAAGAAGAAAATATTCATTACAAAACCGTTGGAATTCTATTTTAGCAGGCTTAAGTCTGTCTTAATGAGAGCATATAATCCAGCAGCTGAAAAAAAGAAGAAACAAAGAGCTTCCTTTGGAGCATCAATGGCACCATTTGCAAAAAATGACACACAACGATGGGTGCAATAGCTGGTTTATATGGTATTGCTTCTTTGCTGACTATACTTGTAGATCTGGTAGTTTTATTAAAGATTTATAATAGTTATGCCTTGTGTTAGTAGAAATAGTAAATATTCTTAGTTCTTTAATAGTTATTATTTTGCATAAAAATTATTGTTTTTTGATTTTAAATAATTCAATGCAGTGGCGTAGCTACACTGGGCCTGTGGGGGCAAGTGCCCTTATAACTGCTTCCTGTGCCCCTACAACTAGGCAAGAGAAAAAAGAGATACAAGTTTAAAACTGACTGTTCAAGCTAATTCTGATATCCAAAATAGCAAGTTAAAATAAGAGTATTACACTGATATAGATTTACCAGTATACGTATAGTGCCAGCAAGTAAGACAAAGATAAAGTGATAGCCAACAAATATGGATACTGAATCGACAATAACATCATAACAACAATAATCAAAAAAGTCTTTTAGAATAAAGTGTGTGTGCTTATATAGAATCAGAGAATTAAGTTCTAGAATGTTCTGAGCAATAGTAGTGTTAACTGTTAAACAAAGTGAGAAAGTGTAATTGTATTGCAGAGGCATGCTAATGTGTTAATAATTAATAAAGGTAAATTAACAATACTGTGTATACATGTAGATGCATACTCTATATACAGCATATGTACATGTGTAATTTATTTGAAATTGTTTCACTGATGCATAGAGAGGTGACCCTAATAATGTGTGTCTATGTACTGAAAGCAATCAGCGAGAGTATAACCTCCTCCACCAGGAACACTCACACATCATGTACTCCCTCTCATACAGACTCCACAATAGGAGCAGGATACTATCCATGGATGGGTTTGGATCAAGAAGTGTCATAGTATTAGAGACACTTGAGAGATTAATGGAAACAACTGGTCAAAGTGTCACTGACATGTTTGATATCATTTGTGGCTCTTCTTTTGGGAATGAGCACCAACTAATGTGTGATGTGAAAGAGCCAAAGTTAGTTTTATTCCTTCCCCCCTCTCTCTCTCATCTCCTATTATTGTGTATCACCATTTTAATCTCATTCCTTTCCTTAGGGTGATGGTATTTGCTGTTAATAAAGCCACTACTGATCTGAAGTTGCATGCATTCAATAACTGCTTTGATGATGAATTTTCTCAAGGTAGAAAATTGTACATACATGTACATGTACTTGTACATCAATATGGCCAATAATGATAATATTTGATGCATTTTTGTAATTTATTTTTAAGAGCAAGTAACTGTCAAAATATGCATCATTCCTTGTAATAAAATTTAAAATTGAATTATTTGTACTTTTTCTCCCCCCCCCTCTCTCTCCTCTCATACTATTGCAGAGTCAGTACTAACAGTGGCCCATTATGTCTCAATATCTCCAATATCAATCGCTAACAACACAGACTATGTATCAGCATCACTCATTGCCAACAATCCAACGGATTATGCTCTCACACGTCTACAGCAGTTCTACTACCAAAGACACGAGCAGTGTCTTGTGTCGGTTGTCGTTTCCTTAGGGACTGGTATCTATGTTCACAGCAAGATGGGGTCCTTTCCTCGTATCTCCTCACTCAAGTTTCGCTCAAGAAGAGCTTATCACAGATTACAGAACTTTGTGCTTTTGTTGAGAAACTCTGTGAGTTGATGCAAGTGTTGGTGTACATGTACATGTATGTATATTCAGCATGTGTATTTTTGATCAGCAATTACATTTGTACATGTATGTCAGGGTTTCCCACAAAGCATGCTAAGTGAACTAAACAGCATCATGCTTTATTAGTGAGCGTACATGGCTTTTGGAGCAAATTTAAAATTCATTTTTGATCAGCATCAGCTCAAACTTTCTATGCAACATAAGTACATGTATGCATGTGTATGAGGAAAAACTTTTAAAATGGCAAATTCTCTTTTTTTAATTTTGGTGAAATTTGGCCCAAGACCCGTACAGGGACTTTGGCCTGATTTTTGAGCAACTTTAAAATTTCTACACAACATATGCACACATATACATGTATCAGAAAAATTAATGTGCATACATGTAAGACTTTCTTCTTAGTGATTTGTGAAATTATGAAATACATGTACATGTACAACTGTACAGTACAGGTCTTTGACCAATTTTTGAGTAACAGTCAAAATTCACTGATAAGAAGCCAAAATTCTGTGGGACACCTTGATGAAGCGTTAGAAAATTATTTTTTACACTACTACATGTACATGTATGTGTACATGTACATGTACATTATTATTTATTCATATTATTTATTTTTTATTTTATTATTTTATTTTTATTTTATAGTTAATCCAGTCTGACACAGTCAGTGCTAATTGTGCCTCTCGCTGTAAGTCTTTGCATATACCCTACTGTCGATTCAGCCCTCATCTCAAGGAGAAGGTTTCAGTTTTCGAAACTGAGACTCGTAAACTCTTAAACTCGGTATTACGTACCAGGATCGAGCTACAGAACATGCGGTGTGGCTTTGAAGAGCTTAAAGAATATTTTGTAAAAATCACAAAGACCTACACTACTTCTGGAAGTGGCCTGGGAGGAGCTTCCTGTATGTTCACAACCAGCGATGCCCTCTCACCTTCTGATCTGATACCTCACACTAAATCGACTGAAACCAACTCATCAGGTATGGGAATGAAACTCAGTGTGTATGGGAATGAGACTATGAGTCTCAAAAATTTATATAAAGAGAAAATGACTTCATAAGTTGCTTTTATTTTTTTAGATGATGATCTGCAACGAAAGCACTTTCTATGGCGATGCAAGTGTTTCAATCAGATATGAATTCACCAGATATAATTATTGCATCCATCACTCACCTACTACTCTTCCCCAGCTCATGCAGTATCCTGTTTCATTTCAGTCACCACTCACAGTGTCACATATATATAGTTCATGCATACAGTACTCTCACATGCATTTATGGAAAAATGAACAATAAAAGTCGAAAATATAAAAACTAAAAAGGAATCAAATTCAGGCTTGCAAGTTTAGAACTCACCTCCAATAAATTAGTATCCATGCACCTAATACACACAACATACACTGTAGATACAATTCATTGTTTTGTGCACCTTTCATTCAGTATCACACTGATGCATACATTACTTAAGAGAAATGATTACGTTGCCCATATTATTATTATTATTATTATTATTCAGTTATTATCCTCATGCTCTTAATCCTCTAACAAGATTCTCATTACTGTAATTATTATTATAATTGTTATATATTACCCACCTTAAGTATCATAGCTCAGTATGTTATTGTGTGAATTTGACATCTTTGTTATCCCCTCATTTTAATCTTTATTATTACCATTATTATTTTTTATCTAATCTAATATTATTGGGGCGAGCATAAGCGAGCCCCACTCAGGCGAAGTCTCCCTCCCTCCGTATGTATGTATGTATGCACGTACGTCTCCAGTCACGCCTATTCTGGTCACACCCCATGTGTGCACAATATCTATTTAAAAATCAATGATCTAATGCGGTAGCATTCTAATGAAATATTTTCATTGATGTGGGTGTGGTTGCAATGAAATTAAAATGGCACCTACCTTAGCCAATCTTACTTGCAGCAACATAGGACTGATCTCTTGTCAAGACACTTCCACAGCAGAGAAAATTCAAGAAAACACACATAAATCTTCAAGTTTTTATTAATTATGGTTGAATGACAGAATATAAAAGCACTTCAAATGGCTCATCAGAGAAAAGAGAGTCTAAAAGTACTGTGCTTGAAAATATCATAGTAAAAATTAAATTATACTTATTAAAGTTACAACTGAGATTCTTCACTGCTAATAAAGCTAGAAGAGCAAGCTATAAAATTTCCTTGCATGCAAGTCACAAGTTCTGAGCTGCTCTGCATGTGTATCATTCAATTTACAATTTGACAACAACATTAGCCTTTGTGACATCTAAACATTGTATATTGCCATGCTAGCTTGTGCTCGCCCCTTCAATGTTCTACATTCGCCTAGTTATTATTATTATTCATTATTGTTATTATTATTATTATCATTCATCTATGTAGCAGCATCATCATCACATTTCCTTTTTTGTATTATACAATAAATTTGATTATAAAACTCTCAATGAACAGTTGAAAAGAGAAGGAGGGTCTCATTTCCGATGAATAATGACACTAGTTGATGTCACCGTTTCCTTTGATTGTAATCGATGATGTTCATTGCACAGTCAAAGGCCGGTCATTCCATATAAGGAAATGAGTGGGCGTTGGCTTTCGTGGTTAGTGTGGTAGCATTATATTAATGGTGGATGGTGGAAACGCTCCTTTTGTCAGTGTTTGTTTATGGTCCTTTTCCTTGGGGAGAAAGAAACTATTTTGAACTATTCCAGCCGTTGCTGAGCCTAGGCTTCCTGTAGCTCCCTAGCCTGTTGGTTTTCATTTTCATCTAGGTGAGTTGTAATAATTATTGTAAAGGAACTTGTAAACACTAGTCTATACTACTATGAGTTGTAAGCCAATTATTAAACTTTTTGCAGGCTGAGTGCTCTCTTTTTACAAGTACCTAAACCATATCTATGCCTAAACTTACAGTACCCTATTACTTCTAACTCTTAACTGTGTTAGTTCTTATCATTTGACGTAAACGCCTAGCCTAGACTATATGCCATCTGGTCTGCATGTGTCAGTTGGTGTGTACAGTTGTGAGTGGTAGCTATTTCTGTTTGTTCTAAATAGATGCTTGTTTCCTGTTTCTCTCCCTCTTCTCTGTCCTACTCTCTTTTCTTCTCAGTCATATTTTAACAATGGCTACCTCAAACTCAGATAAAGTACAAGAGCCTTCCTCCAATCAGTACAGGACGAGTGCCTCACCTGGGGTTGTATGCTTTAGTGAGCCAGAAATAATGCCAGAGAATGATAAGATGAAAATAAAAGGAGCCCAACATGATGGCTATCATAAAGCTTGGAAGAGAAAAAATGCTTTGAAAAGGAAAAAAATTAGTGACACTGGGCCATCTGAGACTGCCAGGGAGTCATTTAATAATGGAGGCTCTTTTAAAAAATCAAACTCAAACCCTGAGCTACACCAGGGAGGTGAAGGAGAGGGAGCTGATGAGCAGCAGCCACGTCGAAGAGGTGTCCAGTTTCTTCAAGTTCCATCAAACAGACGCCTTGTCACAAGATCAGCTGCAAGGATATCACGGATAAGGCCTTCACCTCTTGTGACCAGCTCATTAACATGTTATAGCAATATGAATGAGATTGATGGAGACATGGAGCTGGTTCCTAAATTAGATTTTAGGCAGTATCACCTTGATGTAGACAGTGATGAAAATGATGATGATAGCAGTAATGAAGGAGAAGGAAAGGAGGTTGATGAAGAATTAGAGGGACAGGAACTTGAAAAGTTGATGAATGGTCTTATTGTAGATCCCTCCTCTATGCCTCAAAACCTTCCTAATATTCATCATACAAAGCAAATATCTGGTGTTTCACTCACTGGCTATCAAGGAGATGAAGAAGTGTTGTCAGAGGATGACCGCTGGCTGAGTAGGCCTAGTGACGATGCAGGAATGACCCGATTACACAGTCAAGAGCTTTT